CGGCACAAACTGCTATGACAGATACAAGAGTGAAACTGCTCCGCGGGCATTCTTGTTGTGTCTGCAATGGTGTTGTTTAATCCTGTCTCTGATCCTAAAGGAGGACAAGCACTTTTCCTTACAGTCAATATTTCAATTTTTCTGTATCGAAGGGATCTATAGAAACCATGAAGCACCTCTAAGAGAAGCACATCGATGGTCTGCCTCAAGACACTAATGGATCATCTTCTGGAAACCCCACCAATACATCCTCCTGATGACGGTCATCTTTTCTTGTTTTGCTTTCTAACAGTTTATATTTAACAGCTTATCACCTAAGATGATTGAGATATTATATAGCCACTGTATTAAATGCCATTTTGAAGACTCCCGCATCCCTGGGTTTTTGTGAAATTCTTTTAATAAGGTCCTGGTTTCAAGTCTTTTGTTTGTACTTCACTGGATTTGCATAGCTGGTCAAGAAGAAATAAGCAAATAATCTAAAACGTATAAACAAGAAAAATCTAATGAATATTAACAGTTGGTGATTATTATTATGGACAGACACAACTCATTGAATACTTCTAAGCATTCCCATTTATTTTAATCAGTTGAATGTCAGTGAGTCAGATGAAAATAATCCAAGACGTTTCTATGATCAGATGTATTCAATATTCATGCAAAGATGCCTTCAAATCAAACTCAATTCATTTTCTTGGCGATGTTACAGAAATGACTTGCCATTGTCTTTTTCTTTAACTCCTAACCAGTAGCCAGATTGTAAAATTATAAACTAATTACTAAATATTGTAGTCCAAAAGTTACATAATTCTATTCAAAATATCATTTTTTTCAAATAAACAGAGCAACACTAATAGAGATGCTGCCTCTAGAAGCAACTCTTTACATTGGTTAGTTGCTTATTTTACTATGAGGGGCATAAATAAAGATAGACAGCAAGGATTCCTTCTTCATTCTATTTTTTGTCTCCGTATTGCTTTCTCCTGATTGGAAGATTAATAAGACTAGCCTGCCCCATTCAGTCTGCTTCCTGTCCTATTTTTCTTTTCAATTACCATGAAGGCAGAAACCTTTAGAGATTTTCTTACTAATTTTTACTTGTCTTTTTGGACTTAAGCATATGATAGAGATACTCTTAATGGGCTGGTTTTATTTGATTCTACCAATAAATAAATTGAAGAATTCCAACCAGCATTGTTTCATTTATTTTTCTTTATAATGACTCATTTAAGATGCTCAAATTTTCTTCTCAGCTTTAGTTTCATGGTCTTCTGTGAAAGAATTTGTAGGCATGCCTTCATCACTTCTTTTCTTTCCAGGTGCCGGTCAAAGATTAGTTTGATAAAATATATTCTTTTTTTTCTTTTGATAGATGGCTACTGAAGATATTACATAAGAATTTGTTGAAGTGCTTCAGCCAATCCAATACTCTGCATTTGTTTTATTTGTTTAGATAAATACAGCAATACAAAGTAAAACACAATAGTGGTATTCTTCACTTAATGACCCTAATTGGGATTAGCAACTCCTTCACTAAGCAAAGCAGAGGCTAAATTATAAATCACATGACTATGAATGTGCTTTCTGGCTGGAAAGTGACAAGACTAATTGGATTCACACATTCAGCTTTTGTTTACCTCCTAATTGCTCACCGACCCTTTGTAATGCTCAAGTGCCTACTTACTGTCTTGTACACATATAAAGGAATGCAAATGGGCTGTTGTCTGGGGCTGTGAGCTGGGGGCTTGTATAACAAGTTTCCAATATTCTCTTAAAAACTCTTCCTCTCCATTCTGTCTAATCTGGGGGAGGGAAGGGGAAAAAAGCAAGCAATGTTTGTATACAATTCTCCATGCCTTGACTCTTTCCTGCTGCTGACACAATCACATTGCTCTTGATGTAGAAGAACAAACAGTTTATTCTCGTGAAATCTCTCTCCAATGTCTCTGCTCTTTAGGCCAGGGGAGGGAAGTATCAGTGAAATGAAAGATTGCATTCAGAAATCAGGTTTCTTTCCTTTCCTCACACAGAATAGAAAAATAGTGGTGCAGTGCTTAGAATGCAGCACTGCAGGCTAATTCTGCTGACTGTCGACTGTCAGAAGTTTGGCAGTTCGAGTCTCACCAGCTCAAGATTGTCTCCGCCTTCCATCCTTTTGAGGTCTGTGTTGAGGTATTCCCCGTTAGGAGAATGAGTGCACTCAGGGAAACATAGTGAGAGTGGTGATGAATAACACACAACCAGCACACAGATACACTGAATAGTAAAATGTAAGTTTTACTTCCAGTAAATGGGTAAATAAAAGTCCAACAAACAGTCCAAATCATACACGGTCAAAGCAGTTAGTATTCAAAATGATCAGTCCAGGGATAATCCAAAAATGAAGTCCTTTTCTTTACCAGTATCATAAACAAAGTTCAGTAAACGGAATTTGCGAACAGTTGTAAGACTCACAGCAACTCAAGCAGAATGACGTTCAGGCAAAAGGCAAAAGGAATCAAAGGAAATGCAAAAAGAACAAACCAGGTTTCTGGCTCGATCTTATGGCCGTTGGAGGAACCTCAGCCAATCACAATTACAGCATTCTCTTAAAGATACAACAGTATTAAATGACTACCCTGGTTTATATATTGCCAACCCAACTCTTAGGTGACTATCATTCCTAACAGTCTGTAAAAGGAGGATCCAGATTGTTTGGGGCAATATACTAACTCTGTAAACCACTTAGAGAGGGCTGTAAAGCAATATATAAGTCTAAGTGCTATTGCTATTGCAAGCTGTACAAGACCAAAACAGCTTATTTGGGACATAAACGTAATTTTTTCAGCACCATCATAACTTTGAACAAGTTCTAAATAAATGGTTAGTAAGTGAAGAATACCTGTATGTCTATTTTTAAAATCATTTTAGTATTCTCACTGGCCACTAAGAAACACAAATAAAAAATTTGTAATGCCAATATTTCAGAATCAACATCATTATCATCATCATCTTAATCATTGTATCACCATCATCCTTATTATTGTCTATCCGTTGCAGGATGAAGGCATCTTCCACATGTTTCCAACCTATATAGGCCTGAGGTTTCTTTTGCCAATTGGCCCCACAATACTTGCTGATGTCATCAATCACTATTGTTTTAGGTCTCTTTCTTGGATGCTTTTAATCAAGTATAATCCATTTTATGACTGCCTTTGTTCACCTGCCATCCGTTCTTCTTGCTATGTGATCAGCCTATTTCCATTTTAATTCTTTTACTCTCTTGATGATATTGTATACTTTCATTTGTTCTCTTATCCATGTGCAGGTCTCTCTATCTAGTCTTGTAATTTTACAACCAACTGGATTAATATTTCTTTAAATATAATTTTTCAACTTAACTCTTCATTCATTAAACTTGGAATGATTTTGAACTTTAATAAATCATACATAAAAAGTTACCAAAACTGCATGCAAGATAGTTAAACTTATAATACATTAATAATTATTAATAAATATTCATTTTTAACACAAGGGCATTTGAAAGCTTCAACACACTTTCTGCATAACATAGTCATTTTTTTATTAAGTATGCACATGATAGAGTATGTTAGTCTAACATGCTAAAATAGAAATATGCAAATCTACCAATTTTCAGCACTTTATGATACATGGTAAACAAATCCTAATCTATCAGGCTTAGCAATTACGCTATCAAAATAGTGCCACATAGAGGTAGTAGCTGGCTGAAGAATATTTTGTGCAATTAAGTACAATTTTCTAAACTTTTGAAGAGAAATTATCTTTCACACGACTGCACTCGAAGATAAATATGTGGCTTATTAAGCCTTTTTGGTAGTATTTTTAGACAATTACAATTTAAGAAATTAATTTATTTACTGTCAGTTGGCAATTGTAAAGTAACAAATCAAAATATTGTGTTAGTTTCTTAAGAATGGAGCATCTGGAGGTAGATCACACTGCTGACAATATCTACAATGGTGAATATAAAGGTTTTTAGATATTGATATGGCTGAAGAAGGATAACAAATTAAAAGTGTATTATACTACATCCTTCAAAGCATTTAACTACATAATTTAAGATATCCAAAATAAAATTCATCTATAATTTCATCTATCTAAAAAGAAATGTTGTCATGACCTCATATGGTCTCTTCACTACAATTACTCAGGCCTGCAATTTTAGTCTTCAAAGTTGCAAGCTCATTTCTTTGCCTCACACTTCCATTCAGGTAAGCATTCTGCTAAAAGTGTTCTGGTTTATTTAAGAATGGTTGATGGTTATCTCCCAGGACAGATTATGGATTATGATGATATATTACACTGAATATATTTAATGTTTCTGATACTATAGGCTGTCAAAAGTCAACTTAATGAAAGAACACTCCTTTAGATATTTGGACTGATTATACATATTTACAGAAGCATTTTCACTAAGTTAAAAATGGAATTTACCTGCCCACTCTGATAACCAGTTGGAATGGTTTATAAATTTATTAATGCATAATACATTTTGTATGTTTGTGTTATATACAGCAACATTTAATCATGGTTTAAAACTAAATTTATTCTTTTGGGGGGAGGGAAATTACCTGTGCCTCTGGACTGGAATGCATGGAGATCAGGACTTTCAACCAGTGAATGAATATTTTATTTTATTGATCATTTGCCTTGCAACCATTTAGATTTTAATGAATGCATATTATTAATACTTCAATATTAGTGTGGTTTGGGGATGTTGAATGGACTAGGTAATTTCATAAACACAGGCAATCCACTTTCTTGCTGTATTGCATTAAAACACCCACAGCTGCAAAAATAAACAGATATATCCTCATTTTTATTTCTCCACAAATTCAGTTGGCCTCTGTTGATTAATCAGTTTTGCTTTGCTTTCGCTGTTAGTTAAACACTCTTACATTTTTTAGCTTTAATTATTGATTTTATCTGGGAACCCAAAATCCCATCAAAAATTAAAGAATGATGACCACACAGTGTTCTAGATTAGGGGTCTCCAACATTGGCCACTTTAAGACTCGTGGACTTCAACTCCCAGAATTCCTCAGCCAGCTCTGGCTAAAAATGGCCAATATTGGAGACCCCTGTTCTAGACCATGAATACAAGGAAAAATGAAATAGGGACTGAACCTAGCTGGTGCAATCTTTCTTGTCTCTCTAGGATGAGTAGAATGCGAGGCAAAGAAATTAGAGATTAGGAAAGTAGAGAAGTAGAAAATGTGTACAAAAGGAAAATCTCAGAATCTTTAGTTTAAATTAAAGTTGGATGAAATGCTCATCTCCTCCCTTTTCTAAATATATAGAAGTGATGTGAGAAGATGCACGTACCCCTGAACTTTCAGGGATAAGAGGGAAAAAATTTCAAACTTCCTGATAGTCTTGACCATGTTTTGTCCAAAAAACCTTTAATAGAAGCCAAAGATGTTTCAATGTGGAAAAGGGACTCAAGTCTAAACTAGGCCTCTGTCAGCCTTCAAGATTTTCTCCCTTTGCTTTGCATCTTTCGGCTGTCATAAGTAACCGGGGGAGGAGCGGGGAATGGTTATGGGAAGTGAACTGGAGGTGTTACAAACCAGAACTATAAGCTGCGGTGGGGGGTACACTCTTGCTTAGGCTTCTATGCTCTGCTATGCGCAGCTGCAACTCTTTATCAAAATATGTCAAGGTCAACGGACAGAGGCCTCATCACCACCTGGAGATGCCCACATGATGATATACACAACTTTTAATTGGATGAGCCAATTGAACTGTTGGGGGTGGGAAGGTTGCCATTACTTTGTATATGTGATTTATGCACCCATTTTCTCAGATTCAGAATTCTTTTGTTGTTACCACTTGATTTCCAGTAAAAGATATCTTTTCTCTGATTAATGGAGTCTTAAGTATTTCTTTCTTGAATTTTGAATGAAGCACCAGCTGACACCCTCATAGTGAGCTATGCTGTTGGGTGTTTGGAAGCGTGTGTGTTTGTTTCAGGTGGGTGCTTGGAAGCGTGTGTGTGTGTGTGTTTCAGTTGGGTTCTTGGAAGTGTGTGTGTGTGTGTGTGTGTGTTTGTTTGTTTGTTTCAGGTGGGTCTCCTCTCCTAGCTTTAGAAGGAGAGAGAGAAGGAGGAAGGGAAGGGATAGAAAGAGAGAGAAAGATAGGGAAAGAGAGATGGGAAAAATAGAGAGAGGGGGAAATAGAGAGACAGAGGGAAAGAGAGAGAAAGAGAGGGAAAGAGAGAGAGAGGGGGAGAGAAAGAGAGAGAGACAAGAAAGAAGAAAGAAAAGAAAGAGAAAGGGGAAAGAAAGAAAGAGAGAGAGAAAGGAAGAAAAGGGATAGAAAAAGAAAGACAGGATGGAAGAAAAGGAGAGAAAGAAAGAGGGAGGGAGGGAGGAGAAAGTGACTGAGATATATGAATTAATGGATGGATAGATAGGTGCATGGAAGGAGGGAGGAAGGGAGGGAGGGAGAAAAAAGAGAGGAAGAAAGGATAGAAACCCTGGCTTCAGAAGACTTTTGGAAACAGCATAGCAATCCAGGGCTGGAAAGGATCTTGGAGGTCATCTTCTAGTCCAAGGGTCTTCAAACTTGGCAAATTTAAGACTTGTGGACTTCAACTCCCAGAATTCCTGAGCTGACGTGACTGGAGGAGGAATTCTGGGAGTTGAAGCCCACAAGTATTAAAGCTGTCCGGTTGGAAGACCGCTGCCCTATACCATTTCAGACAAATGGCTGTCATTATTTGTTATTTTTACACGATTCAACAAATAAATATTCTATACATGCATAAATTCTAATTTTTAATAAATATAACCTATATAAACAAAATTTTGGATATATTGCATAACTTTTAAAAATAGGAAACGGTCCTGAAAACAAAAAGTTTAAGAAATACTGCCCTAATAGATAGTGCTGAAACAAGGTCAACCTATGTCTTCTAGGTGAAGCATATAAGATGTTATAGAAATATCTAAGACTAAAAATATTTATTTTGAAGTATTCTCTAGATCAGTAGTGCTTTAAAGCATCTTGGGAGGCCTATCTCAATTACAGATGATATGGCTACACCATTAGCATAAAGGAAAACAGAGATTGGGAGAACAGGAATCAATAAATGAGGGAGGACAGAATTCTGGATTAATGAACATCTCAACAATATTGTTAATCTAAAAGTTTATTTTTATTTATTTTATTTTATTTGCGGTCACAGACCAAAACGCAAGTACAACGAAAGAACATGGGAAAATTAATCATGAACAATTGGTCACCAAAAACTTGACTAAGTGGAATTACAGTGTTCTCCTCTGATGGTTACATAAAAGTTTAATAATAGAGGCATGAGTATTCTGTCTAAGTTTACACCTTTGCTGATAAAAATGGGTTCAATTAAATCACTAAGGATATAAGCTCTACTTAAATGTTTGTGCCCTGGTGTCATAGCATTATGAGTCTAGCAAGACAGCAATAGTTAAAGATGGCATCACTATTGTATTCAATATATTTATACTCTATCTGCCTTGTGATTTGTATATTTTAATAATTTTTTATTATTAATCATATACTTATATTTCTATAATGATCATTTTATATCTTTGTTGTTTTATTTGATTGTGGTACACCACCCAGAGTCACATCCTGGAGATGGCGGGGGTGGTGGTATATAAATATGGCTACTAAATTAAAAAAATGAAAGAAATAGTGTCTAATTCCCTCCAGAATCATTTTTGCAGAATAGAATCAAAAGGAGCCCTACATAGAGGGCACCTTTGGGTGGGAATGCAATCCTTCTTAACTAAATGATGTAGCATTGAACCATGGCTGAATGTTCAGAAATGTTTTCAAAGGACATCCAGTTCAGAAGTTTACTAATTAGAGGCAAAAGGCTAATTGGTTGATAATTTGCAGGGTCATGTTGATCATCTTTTTTTAAATTGGAATAATAATAGTGTTAAGTCAATATTTAGGGAGATATAAAGAATTATTTATGGCTGTGGAGAGGGAAGCAAGCAGAATTTTAAAGATTCTGGTAAGGTTAAATTTTTACCAGGAGCTTTCCTGTTTTCGAGTCGAGAAATTAGTTTTGAGCCTCTAGGGATGAAAGTGTGGCCATTCAGAGAGAAATTCATCAAAATGCTGGTTAGGAAGTTTACTGCCTCCAGATATAGTATGTACATTATATAAATATCCAGTCCAAAACTCATTTTTATTCACTGCTGGTTCTTGGACTCTGGTCCAATTCCCTTTTTTCCCCTTTAAAAGCTTATTTGATGCCATTTTTGGGAATGGGAGGTTTTTTTCTCCTGAGGGAGAGTCATTACAGATACAGGCATTTCTGTAAGCAAAAAATTCCTCTTGTTTTGGCTGTGTTATACCCAAAAGAGTTTAGGCCAGGGCTTAGATTGATGTAATGAAGGGGCCACTTGGAGGATTATCTGTATCAAATATTTTTCAGGGAGTTCATCTTCTTGCAAGTTTCATTTCTATCTCTGTTAGAATCAAAGTGGCTATGATTCACTTTGAACCTTTGTACTGCATCTAAGACTGGTTAGGTCTTGATTTTAGTTCCTTCTAGTTAAATCATTCCTTCATCAGTCATCATTTTATTTTTTTATTTTTTTGTAAATTTTATTTGAGTTTTCACAAAGAGAAAAAAATACAGATAAAACATCTTTTTTTAAAGTAGCATAATCCCGGGTTACATTTCTTCGTACAGACACAAATTCAGGTTCATGCTCATTTTTATATTCTATTCCATATCTTATTACTATTTTACATTTTCTGCATAGCTTCTCCCCTCTTTTAATTTTCTCAATTTTATTTTAATTATATCATCTCAATTCAAATCATTGTATTTATATTTTTTGTCTGTCCTGTTTAAATTACCTATTATCTTTTCTCATTAAACAAAATTTCTCCTGTAGTTACTGACTGGAGTATGACGCCTTTATATCTTTTCCCTAAAGTTGTAACATTCAATATAATACATAACTTCCATTCGGATTCTGCTTGGTACACTCTTAAAATACACACTGTAATATATATATGGCATTCAGCTTTGTTCTTACAGAAGCCTGATGATGGCAGATGAGACTCTGCCGAAACGTTGCTACAACTTTAAAAGCACAACTACAATGACGTGGGAAAATACC